AAAGAGTTGTAATAGAGGAAGGAGAAAGTGACCTCAGAGTAAACATCCCTTCCATTGCCATAATGTCCTGTAATGTATTCTAGGGCAAAACTCCTTCAGGTTTGTGTTGCATTGGAATGTTGTTTTTCATCCTTTGATTTTTAGTCTGTGAGTTTCTTTTGGGTGAAATATATTTCTTGCATAATACATATCATTAGGTTTTATTTCTTGATCCATCCTGCCAATCTGTGTCTTTTAATTGGGGAATTGAAATCATTCACATTGAGAGTTATGATTTCCAGGTGCTGATCCCCTTTCCCCCTTCTGTTTAACTGCTCACCCTGCCTGGTCTGCTCATTCTCTTAGATGTTTTGGCATTTTAGCTTCATTGTCTCATTCAAGGTTACTCTTGAGAATTTTTTGTAGTGCTACTTTGATGGTAATGAATTTCTTGAGGTCCTCTTTGTCTTGGAAATACAGTACATTATTTCTTCACTACTATTTGAGAGCAAGTTTTGTAAGATATATCAGTGAGGGTTGGAAGTTGTTATCTTTTAGGGTTTGAAGCACTTAAAGCTTTCCTGGCCTTTAGGGTTCACATTCACTAGTCTGCTGCAATTGTAATTGGGTTACCTTTTTAAGTGATTTGTTGTGTTTCTCTTACAGCTTTTTAAGATTCTCTCCCTATGTGGAACTTCTGGTATTTGGACTACGATGTAAAGCAGAGAGGTTCTTTCTGATTGTGGCCGTTTGGATTTCTTTCTTTTTCTTTGATACCAGAGGTCAAACTCATGACTTTGTGCTTGCCAGGCAGGCACTTGTGCCACTGAGCTAAATCCCCAGCTCCTGTTTGGATTTCTTATACCGCACTTATCTGGATGTTTATTTCTTTCTGAATACTTGAAAAGTTTTTGCTCTTATTTCTAGAAACAGGTTTTTTATGCCTTTTGTACAGTCTTCTAATTTTCAGTTATTCCATTTAATCTTCTCTGTGTCATCTAACAGCTACTGAATGCATTTTTAAAAAATTTTTATTTAAGGAGAAAAAAAAACAGAAAAAGGGTACAAGTTATACAGAATTTCAGAAAAAATAGACAGTAGGAAATCACTAGTTAATAGATTACATATTGTCATCTTAGAAATAGTTTTCAAGTTACAAAATTAAAGCATATAAAGTGGACTTTCAAACAGTGAGACTGCAAACAGTTCTGTTCAGTGATCCAACAAAACTCAGTAATATGGTTATCTATCTTATACACTTAAATATACATGCAGTTATATCCTTTAGAGCACTTTCTTTTCCTCTCTTTTGTACAATGACAATTACACATTTTGAGTTTTATTACTCCCACAGTTCTTATTAATTACTTTTTTTCTTGAAGAGTAAAACCAAGTGTGATAGCACAGAGTCAGTCAAATCAAAAGGATGGACATAATAGATAATGTAAAAACAAAATACAAGGTGATCAACAATGGTTACCATACTGCCTCTTGCTATCTTAAAAAGAATTGCCTATATCATCAGTTATAATAAAATTGAACAAAACAGTAAAGAATAAAACCAAAACATTGGAGACATTACAGGACTTTCAAAGAAGATAGTAGTCAACCAGAATGGATGTCATAATGAATCTTATTGTCTTCACAGTTGTTTCCTATACTTTCGAACTTGGTATTATCAAGCAGAGCAGAATAGGGGAAAATCAGTCAAAACAAGATGGTGAGAGCAATACAGGGTTTCAAATCAAGTTAATAGGAAATCAAAGTGGGTTACTATAATATATCCTGCTATTTTTTTATTTACTTTTCCCTTAATTAAAAAGATAAAAAAGTAAATAATTAAAAAGAGATTGAGATAAA